TATATATATTTAAGATATATATATTTGGTAAAAATCTGATTTGGAGATTTTTTAAACAGTAAATTTGTATCCATTATCAATGTGAGAGTTGACTATAGGCAGGTAAAATTCTATCTGATGACCCGAAAAAGTGTAGTGAGCTCATAGATCCCTGAAACACCCAAGAGCAGCCCCTGAAAAGGTATTTCAGTAACAAATGCCGAATTTCTTTCTATATCTCATTTCCTCTATTTCATCATTTCTTCCTAAACAAATATTTCTCTAGTAGACAATAATTTGTCACTTTAGACCAAAGAGAAACAGAAATGCATACTCCAAAATAAATAATGGTACATTTTAGCACAAGTTGTTCTATAATCAGTTTTATAATTCTAATATAATTCTAAAGACTTCTCACTTAATCTATATGAATATATATGCATGTGTATACAAATCAATGTAGTAAATACTTTTAGAAACAATAACAGCCACTAAAAATACATTTTTATCCTCAATTTTAGAAAAGATGATTAAAGTTATCACTTAGTAAATACAAGCACATGCATTTAACTGTTGGTGGACAACAAAAGTCAGACTGCAGGAAGTTTTGTTTTTTCTTATGGATCCCTCAATGAGTGAATCAGATATCTAAAAATACTTTACAATTAATATAAGCTCTATAATTTAAAATATAAGCACAATACCTATGCTCATTTTGAAGTATTTTTTGGTGTTTTAATTTGATTAAATAATTTTAAGTTTAAATGTCAAAATTTTTATATTAAAAAATTAATATTAGAGGGAATTGTAACTACTCTAAAAATCTGCTGCAAACTAAAATAACCAAAATGATATAAAAATGTATTTCCTTCAAATACAAAGTGGAATGCATACTATGAATGCATTTAAATATGTTTGTCTATATGTGTATGAGATGCATATAATCTTATAAAGCATGTTAATAAGAATATGATTTTCCAACTTATAACTGTTTTATACAATTCAGAAAATAAAATGAATTTTATATTTAATTCCACTCCAAGTTTTAAGAGCGTCACAGATTAAATGCAAAAGATGTGTCAAGAAATATTTAGCATTGTTCAAACTTTATGAAATATAAGATTTAAAATATTCCAATCATTTAATTTTGATGCTGTATTTGCTAAAGTAACCAAATAAATGAAAGAAGCCATTTTCTCAGAGTATTGGGCTTTCTAAGAGAAAAATGTGTTATTGGTTAATACATATTTATGCTAACACATTTGGGAAAATGAAAACATAATGTGAATCAGAAAAGGAAACATAACATGTGAATAATAGGGAAAAAATAATAATTTGCACAAAGCATATATAACAAAAGTTCTAAAAGAATGGCAAGTGTAACCCAAATAAACAGCAATTCTATAAAATATATTTTTCTTTGGAAAGTCATAGTAGCAGAGAACTTCACATGATGTTAATTCACATCATCACAGTTCCCAAAGTAAACATGATTTAAATTTCCTTTGCTATCAGCCAGTATTTGTCTCTTTTTTAATCTTTGAATTGATCTATATTTATTCAGTATAAATCACTGTACAGTTGGTAGAATTGTTTTAATAAAAAACAGCAAAATCCAAGCATAAAAAATACTGGTTATGTAATATGCTACTTAATTTTTTTAATGGAGCCTCATTTTAGTCAAAAGACAGAGTAGTTAATTATATGCATTCTCTTGAGTTACTTCTTTATGATTTGACAACTAGCTCGGCAGCTGTTCCTGTAAATATGACAATAAATTTTTAAATCTCCAGAGAACTGGTAAATACGAGCAGATGCACTTAACTGCTGGTGGGCAACAAAAGTCAGACTGCAGGAAACTGTGGCACTAATGTAGCTCTTGATTAATCTCTAATTACAGTTTTGTCATCTTAGCAGGGAGACAAAACTATATCACTTCCTAAATAGGCAAGCAGCATTTTGGCACCTAGCAACCAGCAGTTTGTTCCTATTAGCTGCAGTGGACTCAATGCTGTTACATGGGAGGTGGTTATGGATCACTGCCCTATTATTTATGG